ATTCTCTCAGTGGCACTTTTATCTACCCAGCTACCCACGCCAGAAATCTGGGAGCCCTCTTAACGAATCTACTTCCTTCCCCTCACTCTCCACATCCACTTTCACCAATTTCTGCTTTTTCCACTTTCTGAATATCTCTTGTGTTCATTCCTTCTCTCCAACTGCACTATCATGGCTCAAGTTCAAGCCTCATCATCTTTTGCTTGGGCTATTGCAATAAAAGCCAGTCTTGGTGGTCTACTAGTTAAGATTTGGTGCTCTTACCGCCACGCCTGGGTTCATGGCAGCTGCACGTTGCTATGATGATGAAAGCTATGCCACCAGGATGTCAAATACCAGCAGGGTCACCCATGGTGGACAAGTTTCAGCAGAGCTTCCAGACTAGACAGACTAAGAAGAAGGACCTGTCCACCCACTTCATAAAAAAAGTGGCCGTGAAAATCCTATGAATAGCAGCAGAGTGTTGTCTGTTATAGTGCCAGAAGGTGAGAGGATGGTGCAAAAAGACCTGGCAGGGTTCTTCTCTGCTGTACACAGCGTCGCTAGGAGTTGGAAGCCATTCGCCAGCACTAACAACAAATTGCAATAAAACTCTAACTTCCCTTCAGCAGAACTTCAGCTTCAACCTACCGATGACACTACTGCCAGCATAACTAACACAAATGAGACTCTGCTATTCCCTGCACCTATGAATAAACTCTAAACTCCTTAGAATGCCATTTAAGTCCTGACCTGTCAGGAACTGGTGCTTGCCTCTGTGGTCCAATCTTATCACCCTCATTTCCCCCTTCACCCCTTATAACCTAAAAGTACTGAAATTACTTGTAATTCATCTGAACAAGTCATGATCTTTCTTTATTTTCCCCTCTGTGACTTTGCCCATGACAAGAATTCCTAGAATGCTTTCTTCTACCTTGTTCTTTTATAAAATTATTATTTGGTCTTTATGAGACACCTCAGTCTTCATTTCTTCTAAGAAGTCTTGCTTGATGCCCCAGCTGGGTTAGGAACCTCTTTAAGTGGTCCCATGGTTCCGTGTATACACTTCTCATAGCACTTAACCATCAAAGCTACCTTGTTACATGTGTGGCCCCCAAGTTTACAAGTGAACCTTTCAATAGCCAGAACTTTGTCTTTCATCTTTATATTTCCTAGCACATAATAGGAGCTCCAGAAATGTTTGTTAAACTAAAATCATTTCTTTCCTTCTCCAGGCAATTTATACCATAGTCGTTAGTTTCTCCATCTGATATTGTCCCTCTTCTCCTTAAAGATTTGCCACTAGCTTCTGGAGAATAAAGTCAACATAGAGGAAATCAGAGCCAAGAGATGGAGAAAAAGAGACACGTCTTGTTTTTTGTGGGTGTTTTTTTGTAAGGAAGATCGGCCCTGAGCTAATCTCTGATGCCAATCCGAGGAAGATTGCTGGGACACTGCCACAGCACGGCTTGACAAGCGGTGCATCGGTGCGCACCCAGGATCTGAACCTGTGAACCCCGGCCGCTGAAGCGGAGCACGCGCACTTAGCTGCTACGCCACCAGGCCGGCCCCAGAGACACATGTCTTGTAATGGTGCTGATCAGTCTGCGACTTCTCTACTTGCTGGCCACCCTCACACACAGGAGTGGGCACATGAGCCATTCTGGCTGGTGTAACACAGTACACCAGGCACTGATTCAAGGATGGACATTAACATGACACAAATGGTGGAGGACGAATTTGGAGGAAGGCCATTTGGACTTACCTGAAACACACAAAATAATGGGGTTCCCATAAGAAAGAAGGATTCTGTCATCCAAAGAAGGAGTAGGGGGAAGCATTTAGGTAGATGAAAATTGTAGCTACCATAATCAACTGTAAGGGAAGAGTGTGTCTAGAATCCCCTCATCCCCTCCTTGTCTACCTGGCAAACTCCTGCTCATGCTTCATGATCTATCCCAAAATTCACCACCACTGTGAAGGCTTTCCTGACTCCCCATGGCCGAGTTGTTGTTTTCCCTTCTAAATTTCTGTTATTTCGTGTTCAATACCAGGTGTAATGAGTGGCAAAACTAGAATTTGAATCCCATCTAATTCAAATTCTAGTTCTGCCACTCAGAACTGAATTCAAATTCTAGTGTTGCCACTCAGTAACTGTGTGTTATTTAATTCTTTGAAGCTGACTCCTCATCCTTAAAATGAGGATACCACTATCAATCTCAAAGGACTGTTGCTGGGATTAATGATGTCAATCTAAAGTGACTGGCATATGCTAGGAACTCAGATAATGTTAATCTCGCTGCCTCCTCCTCCCCACCCCATGCCACATTAAAACGAACTCTTTGAAGAATTAAGTTTTTACTCTTTGTGTTCCCAGCACCTAGGCAGAGCTTGGCACCTATTGGATTGATGGCAAAAGTTTGATAACTGATAAATACAGAGAGGGGTTATTGTGCTGATGGAAAAAACAATTACCTAGAGTAGAGTTAGTTGTATGCAGGACTTGCTCCTCTGGTCAACTAAAAGTTCCCTGAGGATAAGGGCCATATTGTGCAAATCTCTGCATTAACCCTGCCATGACTTAACAAAAGAGATTTGCTGGTGAGAATTTTTTTTTAAATTATTTTATTGAGGTCACATTGGTTTATAACATTGTGTAATTTCAGGTGTACATTATTATATTTCAGCTTCTGTATAGACTGCATGTTTACCACCAATAGTTTAGTTTTTTTTTGTCACCATACACATGTGCCCCTTTATCCCTTTTGCCCTCTCCCACTCCCTGCCCCTCTGGCAACCACCAATCTGTTTTTATCTGTGTGTTTTAAAAGACATGAGATTGGAGAGCCCCAGGTTGGGTGAATTTGACCAGCTCTTCCTCTGCAGAAGTTAGTCTTACAAAGTATGTGGCCATACTGCCCTCTGGAGACTGCAGATTTTTCTCAAAACATCACTTAAATAGATCTTCCCATTAAGAGCTATACCCAGAACCTTGAAGAATCTTGTAAAAGTTTTCATGTGTGAAATGTTGCGAGAAGCTCTTTTAAAATTCCCAAATAACAATTTCTAAAAATAGGGAGAGCCAGGAGTTAAAAACACAAAGTTTTCCCACTGTTCTTTCTCAAATTTCTTAAATTGAGGAAATTGTTTTTAAAAAGCAATCATGGGGCCGGCCCAGTGGCACAAGTGGTTAAGTGTGAGTGCTCCGCTGCGGCAGCCCGGGGTTCGCCAGTTCGGATCCCAGGCGCGCACTGAGGCACCACTTGTCAAGCCATGCTGTGGCAGCGTCCCATATAAAGTAGAGGAAGATGGACACAGATGTTAGCTCAGGGCCAGTCTTCCTCAGCAAAAAAGAGGAGGATTGGCATCAGATGTTAGCTCAGGGCTGGTCTTCCTCACAAAAAAAAAAAAAAAAAGGAAAAATAAAATACTTGCCATTATAGTATATTCCACATTTATTAGACAATTGAAAATTAGACAAAAGAAAAACAACTTTTGGCACAAGAATGCCAATTTATTCTTTTTTGGACACATGAACACAAAATATCCCTGCAGGCCAAAAAAAGTTGCAAAATTTAAACAACCATCATCTTATCTCAACATGGGGATACCACCTCTCTCTTAATAGTTTAGAAAGTACCTCGTATTGCTAGAGACATACATCCAGTCCAAATTTAATAAAATACATTTTAAAACATTACAGGCCTAACAATATATAAAAAAAATTACACTGTTAGTCAAATGAACAAATGCAAACTTTTTAGCCACTAGACATAGAAAGAGCATGAATACGTCAATAGCAAGGGATAAGAAAATGGTTAATCAATAATAAGATCTTCCCTTTAATTTTACAAGGAAAAAATCCTTGGAGTTGAAGCAGTATTGATACAATGCCCTCAGTCTCCACTTTCTTAAAATGAAAGCAGAGCTACCGCCTTGCTATTGAGCAAGAAAATCTTACAGCACATCCATAAAGGGTAGCTAGCACAGGGCGGAGAGGGTGAGCCTTGTTAAACAGTGGGTTACCTTTTCCCACAAAAAGGGTAGGCAGCTGAGCCACTTAGGTAAGCTGTGATATAGGCTGGGCACCAGATCCTAAAATACAGACCATATAGAATATGTCTGCTTGTAAATCACCACCTTTGGAAGCAGCAAATAGAATTTTCAGTAAGACTGAATATGTCCTGCCTGCCCAGACTGCTGGTTGTATTACCCAGCTAGTTCACTTTATAAACCACTCAGGTTTCAACAGCTAACAACAACAAACATAATCGGTTCAACATTTGGATCTTCACCACTCTTAATGTCCCCACGCCTTATCCCCAAATTGTTACTCTTTAGCATTGCTACATTTAAGTCTTTCACACCACATGACAGTGCCTAAACAGGCTGTGTTTTAAAAAACCAAACAGCCTAAACCTACTTCTAGAGAATGCACACCTCCCATTGATTGACACATGCATAACGATTCAGTCAGTCCCAAGGGGTTACGTTCTCAAATTGTCAAGCCAAATTAAAACTATGCATTCAGACTTGCCTGCAATAGTACTGCTGCAACTCTCATTCTGCAGTGATTACCTCTTAAAGATTCACCCCTCAGCAAACTTTTCCCAATAATCCTAGTTCTTCCATATTTCTTTCTTTCATCCCAAATGACAGCATTGCACCTTTAAAGGTACTGTTTTCCTATAAAAATAGGCCTCCCGGCTTTTCCTCCACCACCACACTGATTTGCCCCAGTGTACTACGACTGACTGAGGTCGTACAAACTGTAGAGTTCAAGTCAAGCGTATAGCCCAACTGCAGGCAAGCAAATCAGGGCTTCCTGCCTTGCTCCCTGCTCCATACATGCCAGGAGATGGTGAGAAGTGACGTTTCTTCTGTGCGTTATTAACAAGCAAGGCCCAGGCACTCAAGTGCAGGTGTGGTGCCCGCTGGCCCGGCTGCCAGCCACCAAGAGTTCTTCACATCCTGGACTCCAGTGAGTCCTCTTCCTCCTAAAAAAGCTCCTGTTTCTTTCCTCCTCTTGGGTCCAGGGTGGCCATGCTGAAGGGTATCTTGTGCTCTCCCTGAACAAGTGTGAATAAAAGCAGCAGCCAACCCCTCACCAACATGTCCTGATTTGGAGTATCCAAGTGAGGTATTTGCAAAAAAGGAAAATTTTAAGAAATTAACATCTGCCACCTTCACTCCTGCCTATGTTGTGCCTCAATTACAAAGCTTGCTTTCATCCCACTATCTGCGGAGGATAAGGAAGTCTGCACTCATCTTAATGAGCTAGAGGACTTGATACACATTATAAAACTCTCAGAGACCAGTCTCAGCAAACACTGGTGGCGCCGCTGATCAGCAGCACATGGAAATGTAAACCTCAATGTATTTACAAGCATGTTTAAAAGACTGAAGAAAAACAGTGCTTTATATTGCTGGGATTTTGAAAAGGCTAGTTTAAGAGATTTGGACTGGCTAATGAGTTCAAGCAAACACCTTTCACCATCAGATCCAGTGTTTCCCCACCAGCAGTTTCCAGAAAGAGGTGGCAAATCGTTTTACCACGTTGTGTCTGTCTCTTCCCCTAGCACCTTCCTCAGCCATATGGAGTGTGGCTCTGGGCCTTTCATCCCCTTTTCCAGCTCTCACTTCTGAGGTTCCAGGACAGAGAATTACAAGTCAGTAAAATCTGGGCTAGGAAACACCGGCTGGAACTACCAAGACTCTATGTAACTGTCGTCCATTCACAAAGTATTATCTACACTAAATACAAAATACATTTTCCCCTACACTTTAACTGATGCTTGCTTTAGATCAACTCCCTTTGTTTGGACAAGAAAGGAATCCTGTCTCTCTGTGAACAGAATCCAGAATCTATTAAGAAAAATCAACCTTTTCTGTGCAGTTTTAGTTTAATAAAAGGAAGGGAACCCCACCAAGCACATTTCAGGTTGAAAGAGAAGCAAAAAATTTGCACCACAAGTAATTGTGCGAGTAACCTTGATTCCCAGGAAAAAAAGTTTTAAATGCTGGTACATTTTTGCAAGTTGCAGCATCACTCAATGTACCTTAAGGATTGGCGAAGCCTATCCGATAAGGAAGCATCCTGGTTCTAGCTTATTTTAAAACAAAGTGACAGGACACCAACTGTGACTATAAAACAGATAAAAATAATTTTTTAAAAAGGCATGGAAATATATGTCTTTTCTGACCGGTTTCAGAAATTGCCAGATTATGATCTATAAGAAATAGCTGATAAAATCATACCGAAATCTCATCTAGAAAACTATACTGTTGGGGGAGGAAGAGAAAGGACCTTAAAAAACGTTTATTGCCAAAGGTAACTTTCTATGAGAAAAGTTTAAAAATCATTTAGATCTAACAAACCACACAGCAGCATAAAATGGGCACTTTTGAAAACTCTGAAAAATACTAAAAGCTAACTTTTTTTTTCCAAAGAGGGGAAAGTGTGAGTACTTTTGCCATGGCAGTGTTATCTGTCACTGTGACGTGTGTCACATCTGTTTGCATTACACATTCACAAAAGTCAACCAAATAAAAGATCTGCCTGTCTGAATCTGCAGCCACATATAGTGCAATTGCCTGGCAGCCCGTACTTACACCAGCACAAGTCTGTAGAGATCAATAAGATAAAGTAGTAAAACTAATAAAACTCTGTAAAACTTTCAAAAATTAATGCTCGTTAAAGGCATTTACGAGTGGCGAAGTCGGAAACCTCCATTAAAAAGTCTATGGACCCACACAATTAAATAGTTATGCTGAACTGAAATAGATTGTTTGGTTTTTCTCTCCCACTTATGCAAACACCCCACTCAATGAATACAGAAAAAAGGAATAATCTCTTATAAGACTAGAGGGATGCGGTGAACACCACAGCTAGCAAAATATTCCATAGAAACCTTTCTTGTAAAGTCCCTTAGAAAGTTCAGGCTGATCAGCCTTTGCAAGTTGAGGTAAAAATTCAGTCCAGTGCATCAGAAAAGACAATCTATGAGTAGCTATTACTTTAAAAAAATGGCTCAATTTTGTTGACGCATCAGACAGTGCTGCGAAGTATAGATTCAGTGCAACTATTCCGAGCTGCTGGTAGAAGACCACCTGAAGTCAACTTGGCTCTCTCTAGAGGCGGTAGGCATTTGAAACATTTTGAGGCTGGGGTGCCAAATTGGTCGAGTTCTTTTTCTGAGACTCTCAGGCAAAATACATTGTGTGCTGGGTATCATGGTGGATCTGCACAGCTTTAGCCAAGGCCTGAGGATCTCGGCCGTTGCTCTGTCCTGACACATGACTGCCTTCCGCGCTGTAACGAGAATAAAGCAAAAAACCAGTTGTAACAAAAGACCGCTTCAAACATCACATGTTTCAAATAGCACGAATAGTACTGGATTCAAGATCTTAGGCTCAAGCTGTGGCTCCCTAAATAATTTGTAACGTCTCTCTAAACATCAGTTTGCTCAACTGAAAAATGCAATACAACTTATTTAATGGGTTGTTGCAATAATTAAATAAAATAATGTCTGCAAAGACCCAAATCCTTAACGGTGCCTACGTAAGGACTTCCATTGTCCATTATGTCTGGTTAATGCCTACTGGTCCTTCAGCCTTCAGTCAAGTGTCATCTCCCCCAAAGAAATTTTGCCTGACTCCAAAGTTTAGGTCAGAGCCACCTGGAACATCCTTTCACAGAATCCTCTACTTTTCATTCATTTGAAAGAAGCAATTGAAATTAAGTTATTAATTGGCTAATTATTTATTTCCCCACTGGGATGTAAACTCCAAGAAAGCAGCAACTTCATCTATCTTAATCACCTCTGAATCCCTAGTATCTGGCACATAGTATAGCTTCAATAATCATTTGTTGAAGGAATGAATGAATATATGTGCCTAGCACAGTGCTGCAACATAGGAGACACTACAAATGTGGCTATGTCACCAGTCTCACCAGGTATATGACCTTGGACAAGTAACAACTCCTCTGAACTTTGGTCTTTCAGGATAACCATAACAACTCCTGAACATATCTCTTAAGGGTACCATGTGATATAAAGGGCTTGGTAAACTGTAAATCACCATCCCTCTTCTGCTTTCTCTACTTAAATTACTATTATCTTTATCTTCTAGACTCAAAGTCTTAGTTATCTTTTACTTCATCCTCTTCTCTGTCACTCACTCCTAATTCACTGTTAAGTACTATCTATTTTATCCCAGGAATAGCTTTTTACATTTAACAGAGACAATCTTGCTCTAACATACTTCCCCAGCTTCATGCCTGCTATTCCCCTTTCATACGCTCCAGCCAAAGAAAACTTGCTATTGTCCAAACATGTCACTTGTTTTCTCTTCTTTGTGTCCATTGTTCCCTCTGCCTGGAAAATCCTTTTCTCTTCTTTGTAGAGCGAAATCCTACCCATCCAGCTATGAAATCTTCTCTAACAGCCTTTCCTCTGATGTCCCATTGCACTTTTATTTATACTGCTTTGGGCTAACTGTCAGTTCTAGGTTTACCTGTATCGTTTCCCTTACTGAAACATAAAATCCCAGGAAACGTATCTTCCTCATCTTAATGTTTTTAGTACCTAGCACAGTGCTGGGTACACAGTCAATACCCCATAAACGTGTTGAATGAACAGATGTGTATTACCGAATGGAAGGTACAAAGCTACAGCTGGGCGTTTTCCATAACAGCGTATTTTCAACCCTTACAGAAATAGACTCGCAGTGGAATGTCTACTATTTAGCAGCTGAATTCAGACTTGGGGAAGAGCCCAGAAACTGCTACACTTCACAGACGGTCATTTGGAAAAGCAAATTAATGCAGAGAGCTTGTTTAGCTATTTAATAGTAGCTCAGTAATGGGTCAAAATGTCTGATTCTCTTGAGATCCCTATTTGGGGATGAGAATGGTCTGGCATCCTTCCTCCTCCCACACACACACCCAGGTTCACTCTGGTGCATTCGTCCAGAGTGTCCTGAAAGCAAAGTGAATAGGTCAGGACTTCCCTTTTCATGAAGTGGAATCCACAGGCCTGTGACTGCTCTGATTGGAGCCAGGGCACTGTGTTGGCCACTTTTTGAGGGTGCTCAGGAGCTGAGCAGAACTGAACGCATTTGGCTGCATCGGAAAACCACAGGCAGCTCCAAATTAGACTGCTTTCTTTGGGCAGACTTTAGACACACCATACAAGTATGAACGAGCCTGAACACTTCTTGGACCAAAAGTCACATTATAAGCTCTTGAAGGCAAATGCAATTTTATTTGCTTCTTGAAATTTAAACCCTAAAAGGAATTTTAACTCTTCCCAAAAGTTTTCTGTAGTAGCTCATTTTTTTTTTTAACATGCTGCTAACATAGACAGAAAGCGATTTTACTGTGCCTGAGAAACTTGCCTGTCATGATCTTTATCCACCAAATGATACCTTGCCCTGAATGCTACAAGCCGGGCATAATATGCAGGGGCTGGAATAGAGACTGAGCGTGTACACCGCACATAGGTGTGACATAGCTGGTAAGTTAGTAGCTGGAGCTCATCTGCAGTGAAGCAGTTGTCATCCCACAAAACCTGGTAATGTGAAGGACGGCTGGTTCCCTGGAGAGAGAGTTTTATGATTAATATATTTCTGATATGGGTTGACTACCTGAGAAGAGAGAAGAATTGAAACCTACTCCCTAAATTCAGAAGTATTCCTACCTAGCACACCTACAAGCAGATACCTAGACCAAAAGATAACAGCTCTAGGATATAAGCATTAACAAAGTTATGCACAGGGTTTAATAACAAGTCTACTCAAGCTAGTTGCTAAATTAGCAAACATCTCCCTATCAAGTCAAAGATCTGGACCAGCTTCCAAATTACCTGAATTCCTGCATGACTACAGAGGTAAAAGTCAAACTCCGATGGATGGGTGATGGTGCTATCCACTGTAGTGCCTGCTGGTACATTGCCACTTTTTCCAACCTACCAAAGAAAAAAAGGTATAACTAGTCATCAAAGTGCCAAACTGAGCTCAGGCCATTTTTTTCTTTTATGTGTTAATTGATAACAAGTTAGTAAATTGCTCTTAAGTGAAGTCTTGAAAACCAGTTTAATTCAAGATGTTGAATTTTTTGTAACTTTCCCTTAGCCCAACCATTTCACCCTTAAGTATTTTTTCAAACAATTCTATTCGATGGTTTCTCTAGGGGAATCCAGACAAAGAATTATTTTACCTGTGGCTTTGAGCTGCATTATTGTCACCTATTCACAGATGACACATTGGTATGTTCGCAGAGGGGAAAAAAAAAAGACATTTACGGAAGATAAGCTTCCTGAGAAAAAAATCAGTTTTATCCCTTACTTGGAGTAAAAAAAAAATCCACAACTTTCAGTAAAAGTTAAGATGAAGGAATCTTTGAACTGGTTCACCAGGTTCAACAAAATGAATACTCTTATGGGATCAATAAGCCACTGGCACATGCATTATCAGGAGGAGTGCACTGAAAGGGGAATTAGGAGAACCAAAGTTTCAATGCTAGGCCTAGCCCTGCAATCACACACCTCGGACAAAACATAATATCTTTGGGTCTAAATTTAACCAGCTATAAAATTAGGTGATGATCTCTTATACTTTAAAAATTCTAAAGTTCTTCTATAGCCAAAACTCTAAAATCAAACTTCTAGGAAAGAAGAGAGGGAAACTTCAGAAATGCATTTATAAGGAAAGGAATTAAATCTTGCTATTTGGTCAATTTTCATCCTCTTCTGCTGTACAGCAGGGTTCCATATGAGGAATTTTAGTTAGCATATAGCCACAAATTTGATGGGAGTGTATTTGGCACCATTCTAACTACTATAAACTTCAGCTGACTATCATACACCAATGCATACAAGAACATCCATGAGTACAGAAAAGTCTCATTCCATCAAATTCATATGTGAACTTGGCTTCTTAGGTGGACAAGAGAAAATGTAACTGAGTTATAATAGTTCCAGCATTGGTGGGTTTTTTTTGTGTGTGTGCAGAAGAAGATCAGCCCTGAGCTAACACCCAATGCCAATCCTCCTCTTTTTCGCTGAGGAAGATTGGCCCTGGGCTAACATCTGTGCCCATCTTCCTCTCCTTTATATGGAACGCCGTCACAGCATGGCTTGACAAGCGGTGCATCAGTGTGTGCCCGGGATCCGAACCTGCAAACCCTGGGCAGCCGAGGCAGAGTGCGCACACTTAACTGCTGTGCCACCGGGCCGGCCCCATCCAGTATTGTTTCCCAAAGTGTATGCTTTAGGAATATTAGTTCTGCAGGATGTGTTTAGGTGTTCTTTGATGAAACAAATTTGAGAAATACTGGGTTAAACCAAAGTTAAAAAGGCTTTTCTATTGTATGACTTCTCAGAATCTTTACTTTATAATAAAGAGGGATTTAGAACTTTTATTTAGTAATTTAAGAGGGAGATGAAATATATAGCATTTCCCAAACTTATTTGACCATAGAATCTCTTTAAAAAAAAATCTCTTGGAATCTACAGATGAGAGCCTAAAAGGGGAAAAGGGGATCCAGGCACGTTCAATTCAACAATTATTGCTTGACCACCCATGTGCAAGGCTCTGCAGCAGATGTTGGGGATGAGAAACAGAGAGAGGGAGAAACAGAGGCACAGAGAAAACTAGTGAACTGCCCTCCCGCCCTTCACGAAAACCATATACAATGAACTGCAATGCAATGTGATAAGGGCATTATAAAAAGCACTGGGAAAAGCTGGTGGAAGGAAATAGTGGAGCCATGCCTTATAGGATAAGTAGCAGTTGAAAGAGGGGATGAGATAAAAACGGGAAATGCTCCAAATATCCTTTCACATCAGGAATGGATAAACAAACTGTGGTTCATCTACATCATGAAATACTACTCAGCAATAAAAAGAAACAAACTACTGATACGCATGATAACTTGGATGAATCTCAGATGCATTATGCTAAGTAAAAGGAGCCAGACTCAAAGGATATGGGATTCCATTTATATGACATTCTGGAAGAAACAAAACTATAGGGACAGAATACATATCAGTGGTTGCCAGGGGCTGTAGGTGAGGGAAAGGGTTGACTACAAAAGGGCATAAGAGAATTTTTGTGTGTGATAGAATCATTCTATATCTTTATTGAGGTGGTGGTTACATAACTATATGCATTTGTCAAAATTTGCAGGACAGTACACTTAAAAGGGCAAATTATTGTATCTGTATTATATCTTAACAAAAACAATGAAAAAAAGGAGTGGGATGGATGTGGTCACTCCAGGGATAAAAACAGACTATGTATATGGGAAATGGAAGGTGTAGGAGGGCATGGAAAGAGATGAAACTAAAATGTTACGTTTTGGCTATGTTGGGAAAACACTGAACACCATAAGAAAGCATCTGGCAGGCAATGGGGGATATGTGAAGATTTTTGAGCAGTGGAGTGGCAGGATAAGGTCTGTATTTTAAAAACTTAGCCCCAGAGAACAAGCTGGTGGTTACCAATGCAGAGGGGTACGGGGGCATGGGTGAAATAGGTGAAGGGTATTAAGAAGTACAAACTTTCAGTTACAAAATAAATAAGTCACAAGGATGCAACATACAGCATAGGGAATATAGTCAATAATATTGTAATAACTTTGTATGGCGACAGAAGGTTAGCAGACTTATCGTGGTGAGCATTTTGTAATATAGTATATAATTATCGAATCACTATGTTGTATGCTTGAAACTAATATAATATCATATGTCAATTATACTTAAAAAATAAAGGAGGCAAAGACACCAATAAAGATAAATGCATGAAATAAAAGAAAAAAAAGAAACTAGCCCTGACAGTAGATGGAGGATGCATTTGTGAAGGAGGAATGGAGACAAGGAGACCTCTAGGAATCTCCTGCAATACAGAAGAGTTCTGCCTAGTTAGAGGGAACACACAAGAGTGAGAACTGAAACGAGAGATTTCAGGGCAGAACACAGAGGACTATTTGACCAACTGGACATGGGAGGACAGTAAACGAGAAGAAGAATTTACAGACAACTCTGAAGTCTCTAGCTTGGCTGACATATTTAATATACAGTGATGCCAAGTAACAGAAGAAAAGGAAAACTGGGGGTGGAATAGGTTTTGGAAGAGGATAAAACAATAAGTAGAAGGTTTAGCGGTGTTTTGCTTGAAATGTCTGTGGTAGATTGTATCGCTGGTGCCAAATATTCCTGTGCCCCTCCCTGGGGGAAGATTATACATCCCCACCCAATTAACTCAGGAGTGGCCATGTAACTTGCTTTGACTGATAAAATGTGTCCTGAAATGTGTTACTTCTGGGCAGAAGCATAAGAGCCAGCATATGGCTTATTGTGTATCTTTTTTCCCCTCTGCTACAATGACTGGCCATGTTCCAAATAGATGCTTCTATGTCAGCCTAGGTTCCAAAGGGAGGACAGCAGGGTCACAGCTGCAGCAGAGCCACAATGAAAGTGTAACGTGAGCAAGAAATAAATCTTTGTAAGCCACTAAGACTTTGGAGTTTTTTGTTACCACAGCACAGCCTAGCCTATCTTGACTGATTTGATGCCTATAGAGCATCTAAGTAAATACGTCTGGTGGATAATTGGAAGTGCAGATCAGGAGCGGCATAGAAAAGTTTAGAGCTGGAAATACGGATTTAGGAATCTATAAGCAAATAAGCAAATTAGGTGAGACTAAAGAGAGGTGAAATTGAGAAAAGAAGAGGGAGAAGTATGAAATGCCAGGAAACACCAGTGTTTAATGGACAGAGGAGGAAGACGAGTCAAAAAAAGCCTGATGATAGAGGTGGGTAGTGAACCTGGAAAGTCACATTGCTAAGGCCAAAGAAGGCAACCGTCCTAAGTGCTGTAAAGAGGTCAGTGTAGGAACCTGACAAGATATCTCTAGGTTCAAAATGATCAAGTCATTGAGGGAAAACCTTAGATGGAGTCATTGAAATCAACCTCAGGCTACAGAGAATGGACGTATGATGTGAGAAGGTACAGACAGAAAGTTAAGTCATTTTTTTTCCTAAAAGTTCGGTCATGAAAGGAAGGAAAGATAAGGTGGCAGGTACACTGAGGGAGAGGCAGAGTGAAGAGAAGTTTATTGGGGTGACTGAGGAAGAGTTAAGAAACTTTAGAGGGTGAGGAGAAGGAGGCAATAGAACGGGAAAGATTGAAATTTTGGAAACTGACGGATAATCAATGAAGTAAGGCTCTAGAGAAGGCAGGAAGGATTAGGAACACAAGCATAGGTGGGGGACGACAAAGCATAAGTGGAGAGATTCGCCTCTAGGATGTGAGGAAAGAGATAAGAAAACACAAGATTTAACTAAATTTGAACGTAGAGGAGAGGAAGCCAAGAAAATTCATGCCTTCTAGATTTTGTTTTCTGGGGGAAATAGAAGGTTGTTCTATTGTTGGCAATGTAAATTGTTGGCAATTAATCGTCATGGATAGGGTTGGGGAGTTGAGAAGAGTGTAAAGGTTTGGAACAGATGCTATGGCAAATAGGATAAATGAAAAAATTGCAGCATCAAAGACTTGGCTGAAATTTGCTATCATGAATTTGTAATAAGGTTCATTATTAAACAAATGACTTTTTTTCCTCAGTAACCTCTATCAACCTAAGAGCAGAAGTAAAGAAAATGGGCAAGTGGACTAATTCAGAGTTGGAGATTGGCAAGAGGCACGTTTAGAGAACTGACGATGCTGAAAAGTGTGAGGGGTGTAAAGTAGACCAAAGGCTGGGACTGTCAATCTTGAAAGGGTAGGAGTGACACTGGATGGTAAAGAACAAAACTATGAGATAGCCTGGGGTTTTAGAAAGATAGTACAGGTCCTAAAGCTACATGGATAGCAAGTTGACAAAGGGATGAAGAGGTGACAGTGCAATTAGGGAGCGAATGGCAGGATGTTTTGTGCCCAGAGCTCAGGCAAGAGTTCAGAGAATTTGTATTAGCAGAGTCTAAGAAGTACTACTGAGTCAGAGTTTGGGCAATTTCAAAACAGCGCTTGGAATCTGGTGGACCTGGAGCCCAAGGAGAAAACTTTAGTTCTCTAATGATTCACAAAACAAAAACAGCTCAGCTTTGGATTAGAGACAAAAACTAAGGGCGTACTAGAATATAATGGGAGTGACCCAGAAGATTATAAGATTAGGCAACAGAAAGAACTGGTCTCCCTGGGGGTGGATCAGGGAGGGCCTGGAAAAGATGAAGTAATGTCATAAAAATATCATAGAAGCAAAGTCATCCAATATTATGTACCTAAACCTACCTAGATTATATACAAATATAAGATTATAGATAGATTACACAAAACGTCTTTTATCAAGTGCTGGGAATTGTACTCCAAATTAATATTCTTTCACTAATTTGATCCTTACAACAACCCTGTGAAATAAATGTTGTTCCTAACACATTTTACAGTTGAGAACATTATGGCTTAGAGAAGTTAAGTAACTTGCCCATGGTTAGTAAGTGTGACATCATAAACATTCAAAGTTTGTACCCTAAGAATCCCCTGCATTGATATAAAATCATTTGGAAGAGAAATTTTTCTTTACCCTCTAGAACCATGCCTCAGGCGCTGTCAGCAAAAAGTAGCAAGTGGCAGTAAAGTCCAAATAGATAAACGTGCCCTTTGGAGGTTGCCTGTATGACCCTAGTGTTCCTGGAATGTTTCTGATCTCCCCTTAAAAACTCTAGAAACCAGCATTTCTGTCACACGAGAGAAATATTCAGTCTTGAAACCTGTATAATTCAGAATTGGTCATCTAAGATGAACAGTAGTTAGCATATTTAGTAAATTATTATTACACACTTATGCTTTTAGAAAAAAAATTATAGGTATGCCCACTCAAAACACATTTACTTGTATCACATAATGAAGCTTATCCTATGTTTTCTTACCCTTTCTGTTTTATCTGCACAGAAGAGTCGTGTGTGATGTCTTTTCTGTACCACAATGTAGGTTATTCCTGGCCGGTAATCTTCTTCCAAGCTAATACAGGCCTTTCGAATTGCTATTAGTTCTGGCCAAGCTACCTAGGAGTTAGAAATGGAATGACGTTTAGTTGAGAACTCACCTAATATCTCTCGAATCTGATTTACCCAGACTGGCAGATGTGAGGAAGCCCCAAAGGGCAACTCTGAGATCATGAGAGTACCTGCTTCATTTGTCCCTCGGATACTCCTCCACGGTAATAGATGATCCGAGTGGGTTTGAAGCGTGTGGATTTGTAGAACTGGATGAGCAGCTCTCGAACCATGTTAGTAAGGTCCTGGATTACCTCCTGACTATAGAGGAGCTCCTGGGAGATCTCCTGGCGGGAAGTCTGCACCCGAACGGTGGCACAGTACCGGCTGGGGTGGCCGTCCATACTGCCAACCACAGCGGCAATGGAAGGCTTCTTCCCATCCCCTGCCGGCGGGTGTGTGACATCCGCTCCCAGGAAAATGACAGGCTGCTGGAACACCGAGGGCCTGCTCAGATTTAAGGAGACGTTGCCACTCAGACACACAGATGAAAATGTTTGTGTTCAGCAAGCTCACCAGATACAGTCACAGATAGAATCTTATAAGAGAGAATGAAGACTTATGCCCGTTGGTAGAGAACTCTAAGGCCCACCGAGAATCTGTGCCACCCAGTACAACGCATCTGAACTGACTGAAGAAGTCAACATGGTTCCTCTGTAATAGTAGGAAGGGAAGAATTAAAAAAGAGGACCTGACCCAAAGATAAGAAAATCTCTATGTGTAAAGGGAAAACTTTCTCAGAACAGGCTTTCTTGGAATCCTGGGATTTCTACAACAGATACAGAATTGCAGGATTTACATGGACTGGGATAAAAGCCCCAATTCTTTTTAAGATGTGAGACTTAGGAAAAAGAATCATTCTATGTCCTTCCCTGTTTTATTTTTATCGATAGTATTTATCACTTACACCACATATTTTACTTATTTATTGTCCACCCACACACCCACACCCACATACACACCCACACATAAACACACACAAGAATGTAAGCTCCACTAGGGCAGGAATTTTGTTTTGTCCTGTTCACTACAGGACAAAACTGTTTCTGTCCTGTATCCCTAGTGCCTAGAACACTGCCTAGCACACAGTTGGTGCTCAATAAATATTTGTTGAAGGAATGAATTCATTTATTTAGCACTGATATCTCTATCAAAGAAATCAAGGAAAAAATATCATGCTTCACTGGTAAATTCTTTTTTTTTTTTTTAATCTGTGACAGATAGGAATTTCTCCTGTTTTTTTTTTTTTGGAGGGAAAGATTTGCCCTGGGCTAACATCTGTTGCCAATCTTCCTCTTTTTTCTTTCCTCCCCAAAGCCCCAAGCATGGCTGTATATCCTAGTTGTAAGTCGTTCTAGTTCTTCTTTGTGAGCTGCCACCAAAGCATGGCAACTGACAGCTGGGTGGCATGGTTTCGCAACCAGGAAATGAACCCAGGCTGCCGATGTGGGGAGCAATGAACTTTAACCACTAGGCCATCATGGCTGGCTCTCCGGTAAATTCTTAAAGGTAGGATTTGGGACTGAGTGTTGATTCTTAAAGTGTAATATAGGAGGCATCCCAAATCTGAAAATCTAACGTAAGTGGTGATAAAGATGTAATAGGTACTAAAGGATAGATACCTCCATGAGGGCAGAGGCTGTATTGTATTTCTCTACACGTATCATCATACAACATGAACCTGGCACAAAGCAGTATAACAGCAAACATGTATCTATAACACACATATATATGACATAATAACAACTTACATATACTATGTACCAGCCACAGTGCTAAGCATTTCATGTATTAATCCATTTAATCCTCACAACAATTCTATGTGGGTGGTACAACTATTATCTCAATTTTCCATATTTAAAAAACGAGACATAAGAGGATAAGGAACTTGCACAAGATCATACAGCTAGGAAGTGGTAAAGCAGGAATCCAAACCCAGAAAGTCTGACACTGAAGTATGCACACTAGGCCACTATGCTATATTGTCTCACATGTTTGGGGTAAAACTAAATGATTTCAGCCTTTAGATTAATTTCCCCTGTGGCCTGTATACCTCATCTACCAATGCTGCAGGAAGGACTTATTTACCTAGAAGTTTCATTCAAGGACAAAAATGAGAATTGTGATATGATTGTGCAAGAGTAAGGCACTCGGGCCGGCCCCATGGCTTAGCGGTTAAGTGCGTGCGCTCCGCTGCTGGCGGCTCAGGTTCGGATCCCGGGTGCGCACTGACACACTGCTTCTCCGGCCATGCTGAGGCCGCGTCCCACATACAGCAACTAGAAGGCTGTGCAACTATGACTTACAACTATCTAGTGGGGCTTTGGGGGGAAAAAATAAATAAATAAATAAATAAAATTAAAAAAAAAATGTGAATAGTTTAAAAAAAAAAAGAGTAAGGCACTCAATTTTATCTTCTTCTCAAGTATAGCAATGACTAAACTTAACTTTTCAAAGCACTTTCACATAAAAACATTTTAGAGTTAACAAGTCAGAGATTATCTCAATAGATAAAGAAACTACAAATCAATGAAAAGAATGACAACCCAATCTAAGAAACAGGCAAAGAACTGAACAGGCCCATCACAAAACAGGATGTCCAAACAGCCAATAAGCACATGAAAATGTGCTCAACATGTTTAGTCATCAGGCGAATGCAAATTAAAACCATAATGAGATACTATTACCCCCAACCAAAACAGCTAAAATTAAAAGGACTGATACCACCAAGTGTTGGTGACAATATGGAGCAACTACAACTCTCAATGGAAACATCAATTGGTATAACCACTTTGGAAAAGTACTTGGCAGTATCTATCAATGCTAAATATATGTATTCTCCAACGCAGCAATTCCACTCTGGGATATATACACAACAGAAAGACTTAAGTCCACCAAAAACGTAGAATTGTATAATGAATGTACAATAATATCCATCAACGGTAGAACATATAAAAATTTTGTGGTATATTCTTATAACGAAATAATACACAACAATGAAAAAGAATAAACTACTACTTAATACAGTAAGATGAATGAAACTCAGATACACAGTGTTGAACAAAAGAAGACAGACACAAAATATTATATACTGTATGGTTCCATTTATATGAAGTTTAAAAACAAGCAAAACTAATCTATGGTGACAGAGTTCAGAACAGTGGTTACTTTGGGGGGTTATCTATTGGGAGGGGTCACAAGGAAGCCTGATGAGGTGCTGGAAATGTTCTATATCCAACCTGGGTGGTGGTTACATGAGTGTAAAAATATATAAGAAAAAGTAATCAAGATTCATATTTGAGATTTGTGTCCTTTACCGTAAATTACATTGTTACATCTTAATAAAAAAGTAGGAAAAACAGAGTTCAGAACCTTACCTTTGATGAGGCACAAGCACATTATTAATTCCTCCAAGCTTTGCATTTATCTTCAGGCAAAGGTTGGAAAGGGTTTGAGGTGAGGTCTTCACTACGTTTTTTACCTGGACACACTGTGTGGCCATACCCAGGAGGGTATCTCCAACACGTTTCACCTCCGCTACAAAAATAAGTTAATTAATTAATTTTAAAATGTTTAAATATCCTCCTAATTACTTAGAGGAAAAAACCCCACACATGGACATTTACAGAGTGCCTACTATATACTGTACACTGTGCTAGATGCTTTTCATCTGTGGTTCTTTCATCTGCTAAACCCCCAGGGCAATTTTTTTCAGTTTGGATAAACCAGCCCTCCCCCTCCACTTTTCTTCCCTCCTGCAGGCCTTGAAGCTGGCACACTTCCTTTATTCTTAGATGCTGCTTGCCACCGCTCAGTCCCTTGAGGTTACTTTTCCCACAGGACTGGTCTGGCATAGGAATCAGTCTCCCCAGCTCCTCTCTCTAATTACACATGCCAGCCCTTTGAATTTTAAGTTTTTTTCTTCCTTATTTTTTTCTCTAAACACTAGAGATAAACAGAAGGTAACAAAAGAAACAAATATAGAGAGGGTTGAAGACATTTTATAAAGTTCAAATAGCTGGTCTGTAGTTCCCAAATCCTTTACTTAAATGATAGCCAAAAAAACTTTGTATCATTCTTCTTATAATAGATACAAACTAAACAGCTCCTTTTCTGGAAGTGGTAGGCTCTCTCATTCTTCCCCACTCTGATACTCCTAAGTGCTTTTCAGCAAACATTCCAGTTATCTCTGCTTTGGGTACTATGTAGAATTGCACTGTATGCCCTGGCCCTCATTCCCACCACATTCCCTGGCTCCCGTTCCCACATCCCCCACACAGGCTGGGTAGGCCATACAGCTGGTTGTGGCCAAAAAGTTGGGGACATTAAGAACTCTCCAGAGCTCTCTTTTCTCTCTGCCTTCGGGCCAGCAACATTCCAAATAGCGACTGCTCTGCCAACCTGGGTCTCAGAGTGAAAATGATATGATGACACAGAGCAGAGGTTGCAGTCTACCCTCAATGGACACAGTAGGAGCAAAAAATAAACCTTTGTTGCTTTGAGCCAAAAATAAACCTTTGCTTTGAGAGTTTGGGGTTGTTTTGAGTGCAGCTTAACCTAGATTATCCTGACTGTTACACCTGCTACTTGAAATCATGTCACATTCAACAATAAAAGGGTCCGTACCATATACTGGTGTCTTCCCAGGCAAGATAACCACTATGAGCTGTAGGCCCACATATGTCATTTTCAGATGTTTAAACATGGGCTCCACGCTGTCTGCACCTTGTGCATACTTGCAGAAACATGGCTGACCCTGGATGGGCATTCCTGCATCCTTAGAGATTTTACGGAGCTGGTCAGTGAAACTTCTGTCAAGATAGAATCAGTGGCACAGTGCTTTCATTTCAGAGTACATTCTTAGCATTTATTTCCCTCTAAGATACTTCTTTCAGTTCTGCAAACGCTTAGCCAAAATTAGAAACAAACAAATAAACAGAAAACCCATCTTTAACTGGTTGCCAAAAATAGACTGGCAGATGTATCACTGCAATTATAATGCAGAAGAATCAGTATTATTAAGATATCAGATTATTATTTCAAAGTTTTAAATAATTATGCCTCAGCTGGGCCCCAGGGACTAGAATAGCATTCTTGTCCAAGGATTTTTTTAAACATTCAAGTCAGTAATACTGGACTGAAGAGAAGCAAGGTCAAAATTTCAGGGAACATGCATTCTGAACCCTGATACGAGAATAGTTGGGTAAGCTTGTGTTCAATTGAGAACACAGAAACACGCAGTCACAAAATCAGCGTATTTAGGATTACATTCAAATTTGTAACAAATCTGATTCAATGACAATGTCAAAAGAAATCACCACTTTAAAAAAAGCAAAATTCGGGGCCGGCCCAGTGGCGCAAGTGGTTAAGTGTGCGCGCTCCGCTGCGGCGGCCCGGGGTTCGCCACTTCGGATCCCTGGCGCACACTGACGCACCACTTGTCAAGCCATGCTGTGGCGGCGTCCCATATAAAGTGGAGGAAGATGGGCATGGATGTTAGCCTAGGGCCAGTCTTCCTCAGCAAAAAAGGAGGACGATTGGCAGATGTTAGCTCAGGGCCGATCTTCCTCACAAAAAAAAAAAAGCAAAATTCATTGTAAAATTTTAAATTTTGGATTTGAGAAGTTACTTCAATCTATGTTTAAAGCTTTCGGAATAATTTCTTTTGTGCGTTTGCCAATATTTGGTACGATTCCTTTCTTTCATCCCAGTTCCCTTTTCCTGCCTTAATGTTTCCACCCTTCTCACTAACTTCCTTTATATAGATAGCTGCATCTGCAAGACATGAACCAATGATCTTAGTCAGTGACCCTCCAGTAAAACAGGCTTGCTAGTAAATTATAATGATTAAAAATGAACCAGTTTTTATCTTAGCTGAAAAGATACAATTAATACCAAAGGAAGCTTCACTAAGAACCCAAAAATTTGCCAAACAGCACTGCTTCAGCCTTGTTAGTCACAAATTTCTGCTTTAAATGTAAGGAAGCTGAGTCAGATTCTTAATGTAATTCCCAAGTTTGCAATTTACTATAATACAAGGTCTTTTTCCTATAGCCAGATGGTGTCACTAGGAGTCAGGGGTTTAGTGCCAGTGCACACAGCACATTCACATAAAGATGGTATTTTCATATCTGGAAGGGATATTACTAAGCTGAAAATATGAAGATACTCACTTTAGTAAATCTTCCCTACATTGTTTCTGAGGCGCAAAACAAGCAACTGCCCAAACTTTAATTTCAATGCCAGCATAAAACTGCTTTCCTCGCATGTCCCAGACACCCTGGTTGGGCGTGGCTACCGTTTTATTCTTTAAAAAAAAAAAAAAAAAAGAAACAAAAGAAAAGAGAAAAGACATTACAATCTAAGGCCATTTTAAGGTTGATGAGGGGATAAACAGAACTCTATTTTGTATTAGCCAAAAGACAAAAAGCAATAATGAGCAAAACTATGGGCAAATTCAGTGTGGTATAGTGGAAAAACCATGGATGATTCTCTTTTCGACTGGTTGTTGGAAGAAGCTTGCTGAACAAAATAAAAAGCTTACCCGGCCTCCGTACTGCAGCATTGGTGCTGGAAGTACCCTGCCTGTGAGCTCTGTCATTTCATTGTGGACAACAATACCAAATTCTTTAAGGTATGGATCAGGTCCACCCACCATGCTGTTACTCTTCACCTAAAGAACAGGAAAGCCTGCATATATAAAAACCAAAGAGTAACCGTGTCCCATCAGGAGTTTTCTATTGTTTCGTTTTTTCATCTTAAAGCAAGCTTATCTTAAAGACCATGCCTTACTGACCAGTCTGCTGATTTCTTCCTGTCTGTCAGGAGCAGACCTTGCTGTGGCTTTGATCATTGTGGAAGTCTGATTGTCTGTGAGCTTCTTTATACATCGCTGTCCGGCCACTATATTACAGACCTACCGAGAGGCAAAGAGAAATTAGTTTGTGCAATGGGCTTCTATATGTTAAGCCTTTGCCAACTGTATCTTACATCTTCCATTTCCAAAAAAAAAAAAAGTAAAGAAAGAAAATTCTGTTATATAGTGAAGTTATCTGCCCAAAATATTTTAGAAATTAATACTAAATTCTATCACTAGCTGAGAACATGACTTTTTTTTTTTTTTTAACTCATTCAAAAGATTGGCAGATTGGCAAAAGAAAATTTAGTTTAGCTTACCTCAAGTGGCAAGTATGTATGCTTTTGTTCTTGTCCTACTTGGAGACAGGGAAGATGGGGATATTTCAGCTGCAGACTATACTTTTGCTTAAAATATTGAGCTACTGTACATTCCATAGCTTGACCATTTTCTAGCTGTAAAGGAAAACTATAGGAGAGAATGTCTTTTTAGAAATTTCTTCAAGTACTTTTTTTTAAACAAGCAAACAAACAAAAGCCTACTAACACTTTCTACCTTGATCAGCCACTTAAAAAACAAAGGTCAATCTTTATGTGAACATTTTCACTTAATTCATTCTTTAATCAGAACAGTGATTCTGTTGGAATTTTCCATGTTTGCTGAGACTAGGATGAGAAAAATTTTAAATGAAAATTTAAAAAGAATTTAAAACAAGAAGAAGCTGCAGAACCAGAAAATACACAGACTCATTAGAGGTCAGTTAACACCCACAGATACAAACACAATCTCTTATTGGCTGGCTTCTTATAGATGTTTAAATTCAAATAAGGACCTGGAGTCATCCAGATAGGAGTTTTGTTTGCTTAAGAGAACTTTTTGTAAAATGAATGTAGCATAGTTATGGGGCCACATTTTTAGATCCCCAAACTAGGACAAATACACATAGATTTGAAGGCAATAAGACCAAATACACGAAATTGAGACTGTGCCAGGATATTTGGTATAAATTGGGGAGCATCATTTAAGAGACTCTATGTTTGGTTCTTCCAGTGGGCAAATTATCTCAAATATTTGGCACAATGATAACTTTAATCTTACTTTCTTAACTATCACAGCCTCACAAAGTAACAATGCAGTGAGGATCACCCACATGATATTTAAATCTATGTGCTTTTAACTTGCATGCAAAGATTATATAGGTCTATAAGAATAATTATTGTTACAGGGTTAAGTGAAGTAATTAAAAAATGAAAAAGACAAAGTTCTTCTTGAAACAAATGCTACAATTCTCAATAGTGACTTCATAAAGGGTTTTGGTCATTTTTTTTTCCTAGAGAACAAAGTCAATGTTATAATATGAATACTATAATGTTATATGCTATAATGTTATAATATGAATATGAAGAATACACATAATACCATTTTATAACTCTTAAGAAATTCATGTGGGCTGGCCCCGTGGCTTGAGCGGTTGAGTGCGTGTGCTCCGCTGCTGGCGGCCCGGGTTCGGATCCTGGGTGCGCACCGACGCACCGCTTCTCCGGCCATGCTGAGGCCACATCCCACATATAGCAACTAGAAGGATGTGCAGCTATGACATACAACTGTTTACTGGGGCTTTGGGGGAAAAAATAAAATAAATAAATAAAAAATTAAAGAAAAAAAAAGAAAGAAAGAAATTCATGTAATGGGTGCCGGCCCCGTGGCGTAGCGGTTAAGTTCGGTGCGCTCCACTTCAGCAGCCCGGGTACGTGGATTCGGATCCCAGGTGCAGACCTACACCACTCATCAGCCATGCTGAGGCAGCGACCCATATACAAAATAGAGGAGGACTGGCACAGATGTTAGCTCAGGGCTAATCTTTCTCAAGCAAAAAAAAGAGGAAGATTGGCAACAGATGTTAGCTCAGGGTAAATCATCCTCAGCAAAAACAAAAAAAAAGAAATTCACATACCACTTTTATCCAGAGGTCACCCAAAAACTTCAACTGTCTAGAACAAAGCCCTCCAGGTGATTTTGATGCATATTAAAGTTTAAAAATAGAGAAGCAGGGCCGGCTCCGTGGCTTAGCGGTTAAGTGCGTGCGCTCTGATGCTGGTGGCCCGGGTTCGGATCCCGGGAGCGCCCCGAGGCACCACTTCTCCGTCCAACGCGAGGCCGAGTCCCACGTACAGCAACTAGAAGGATGTGAACCTATGACATACAACTATCTACTGG